AAAGAAAAAGAGAGAGAGAGAGAGAGAGAGAGAGAGAGAGAGAGAGCAGTCCGCTCAGAAGTTCTGTAAGAGGAATATCCACCTGTTTGTCTCTGCTCTATGGAGACTCCTTCCATTTCTCCCCTTGTCATCTTCAAACTCTTCGCATGAAAGGCTCTGAGTGAAAGTTTCTTGCTTTGAAGCTTCCCCTGCATTAGTTCCTTTCCAAAGCGCTCTCTCTCTCTCTCTCTCTCCTGGGCACACAAGCACTAAATCCATGGAAAGCAGCGCCACCGGCCTCCAGTTTCTGTCTAGCTGGTGTGCCGGACAGAAAAGGTCACTCTAATTCTAATAACACAATTATTGACACGAGATATTGTAGTGATTTCATACCACCGCCACCACGGAGCGTTTAATTTCCCTCAAGCTGCTGAACTGCACATCGGTGAAACTGTTTGCATGGTGTAGCTATCAATATTTCTGGCTTATTTAATATCCACAGCGATGGTTTTCTATTTTCTATTGTAAAAATGAACTCCATTAAGGCTGCTTCACTCAATGATTTTTAACATTGATTGTTTTCGCAGTTTCAGCAGCACAATTTGAAAGAAGAGTGAGCCAGACAATGACTCGTGCACCAGCTCTCCCCGGAGCATGACAAAGGCTGGCCGTGAGCACGAAATCCAGTTAAATAGCATAGACAAAACGGTTTTAAAAATTTTTCTGCTCTAAGTTGGGCACAAGGGCCCAAATATCCTGCAGTTTTTGGAGATGTGTTGCCTTTGGTAGATAAAGGTCAGGCAAAGAAGCCTTTTCTGGTCATCTTCTAAACCCAGTGACAGGCAAGATTAACCTCAAGAAGAATATGCTTAAGGATCAAAATAAAACATCTTTAAAAATCATATCTGAATCTGTATCACAGAAGACAGTGCCCAAGGCTCTCCTCCAATCAGAGGCACAATCTCTGTGTCATGACTGAATTACCCAAGCGCAAAAACATGCTTAATTCTTCAAAAGCCAGGAGACATGGCGGGGCTAATGTCTGCTCTCACAAGGAAAAGAATAGACCTGACTGATTTCTAACACAAGGACAAAGATAAGAAAAATCATAACTCTACTCAACTCTAAAGAAAAAAGACAGGAAAAAAAACATTCCTTTAGATAGTTAAAAATGTATCATTAGGTATATTTACATTATTAATAATTTTACCATAATATAATATTAATTTAACAATACTAATTCTATATGTATATATTTAAAATGCTGTCACACATCCTCTGCTCACTCACATTGTACTTCTACATAAATAGCCACGATTTAACTTTAAATATATTTAAATGACTAATATTTACATAATGTAATATTAGTATTTAATCCAATAATAATGGGTAATTCTACAACTATATTTAGAATTCTGTATATTTAAATTGCTGTCAAGCAGAAGCCCACAAATTGTGATCAACTCCGAGAACTAATAAGGCAAGAATGAATCAGTCAGGATTTGGCCCAGAAGCTAATATCCAGCATGCCAGAGCAAATTGCAGAAGTTATGAAGAACAAGGGTCAACACTGTAAATATTGACTCATTATATTTTTTGCCAATAAAAGCCTTTAAAACTTATGATATGCTTATCATGGTTTTTCAGTATACCATAGAAACGTGGAAAAATAATCTACAAATACTGAAGCAGCAAACTTTGCAAAACACAAAATTGATGTCACTGCCAAAACTTTTGGCCATGACTGTATATAAAATAATAATTAGTAATTCCACACCTATATTAAAAATGTAATGTCCTTTGCTCACTCACACTGTAGTTCATAAAATAAATAAATAAAATAAACAATAAAAACACCTTAATCTTTGCAAAGATATAGATTTAAATATACTTAAATTAATATTTGCACAATATATTTTAGTTCAATGATAGTAATTCTATATCTGTATATTAAAATGCTGCCAAGCTGTCCACTCACAACGTACTTCAAAAATAATACTAAAATTTAAATTAATTAAAAATAAAAACTTTATCTATCCAAACATATCACTTAAAATATATTTAAAATACTAATAGTTATAATTCACATAATACAATATTAATATTTATTTATTTAATGTATGTATGTATATATACTGTATATATACAGTAATTCTATATCTCGGCTCACTCACATTGTACTTCCAGGTACTTCTGCGTCTGGAAGTCCTTGACCGCTGGATGGTCGACAATGCAAACCACAGGAACTCCATCATCCTCTCTCATGACGGTAAGCCTCAGCCAGCTAGTCACAGTGAACATCCTGTCATACGTGGCCTCCACTTTAGATTTGCCTGTGAGAGACAGAAACCAATTAGAGACAAAGAATTTAAAACAAATCGCTTTCATTATCACTTCTGTCAAGAAACCATGGGTGGCTAAATGTACTGAAGGCCACAGTATTCTTTACATCTTGTGAGCCAAATAACAAAGTAGATTCCCTAATGACTTGCACATATGTGACATATGGAGGCTCACTGTAGCTTATCGATGACATGTGTACAGTAAACGCCCCCCTGCAGCTTCATCTAAATTGTGACCATATGAGAGAGGACATGTGGCTTAAAAACAGCCCCAAATCACTTCCTTTCGAGGCTTGTTATGCAGCTGTCACTCATTGGCAACTGTGTGGGCTGTGATGGTGTGTTTGTGCTTTATGAAGTGAGCTATAATGGCTGTAGTGGATGCCTCTGACCCGCAGCCCTCCTTCAGCAGCATCAAGTGGGCACGAAGAACACAAAAGACTCAGAATCATTGTGTGGCTCTAGACAATAGCCTCGCAGCACCGCATAGACCTCTATCACTCAATTACTGCTCTGGCCTTGTGGAGAGAAACAGGTGTGGGTGGAAAGAGAGAAAGGAGGAGACACGGGGTGAGCGAGAACGAAAGAGAGGACCTATTGTCCTGTTTGTGTTTTTGTAAAAAAAAAAAAAATCCACTTGACCATTAAAAAAATGAATTAGATGTTGTAACGACAGGCTAAAAGAAAAGAAACAGAAAAATGTGAGTTTGATGGAAGGTACCACCAATTTCAATTTATTATAAATAGAATATAAATATAAAATTATATTTATAAATAAATATAAATAAAAAAGTCATAATTTATTCGCCCTCATATTGTTCCAAACCTGTATGACTTAATTTATTTTGTGGAACATAATAGAATATATTTTTGTACATATAAAGCTGTTTTGGTCCCCGTTCAATTTCATCACATGGATAAAACCAGTTCTTCATTCTTTAAAATACTGTAGCTTTTGCTTGAGATGGTTTGGAACGACATGGTGGTGGATAAATCATAAAAAAAAAAAAATCTGTGAACTATGCCTTTAATCAATTTTAATATAGTTTAAATCACGTTTTAAACTATATTAAAAATGAAACTTTTTTTTTATTGATTGATAACATTGATAACTAGAGCTGTGTTATCAATGTTATCAATAATACATAATGCTAAATTTACCATAAATCATAAAAATGCCCGGGAATTTGAACTACTGTGTAAAATCTCAATACTCCAGACCATTTTTTTTCCTGACAATTCCTTGTCTTGAGCATTCATTTGTTCTGCATTCAGCGTTATCAGCAGTGAATGGATATTCAGACAATCATATCTCAGAAAAATGAAGACACAGAGCTCATTGAGAGCCCAGAGGCACGTCTACATTCTCCCTTACAATGCCACAGTCACTGCTGATAAAGAGATAATCACAGGTCAATCACTGTCATTCAGAGATTTCTTCATTTCAATAACATCTCCCTTTTTGAAATGCAAAGGAGCTCTGATTAGTCCCGATCTGCAGCGATACAGTGGGCTGAATATCAAAAGACATCCTGTCCCTATTGAATTCACGGTTTCTTCACATTTTTCACTCTCTATAATTCACCCTCCCCTTTTTTTCCCTATTATCCAACACCTTCCAATGGAAAGTCACTCCCTGGAAGAGGGCAGTCTGGAGATCTGGGGCCAAAGGAGTATTTAGCAAACTTCCTTAGGGCCATTCAAATTTTTGAATCGTGCCATTGTGTTCCAGCTGAGCTTAGTGGGTTAATTGAAATGAGATTATATTTTTAAGCAATGACACAATGAGCAGGCCAGACGTGTTCTGACAGGAGGAAATTAACAACTCATTGTTTCCCGACGTTCATTCAGCTAGACTTATGAGACAGGTGTGTGTCAACAATGGACCAGGATGTAAAACAGATGTACTAAACGCAGCACAAAACATGGATAAGACTGGGAAGGTCGTGCATGTGTGAGTGTGAGGGGAGAATGAGGTGGTACATCATGGGGGCGGCTGAGTTTACATTCCGGGGCTGTATGGGTGTAACCTTTAAATGATATTTAAAAAAGCCTGATTATCCTAGAGGTAATTAGAATGAATGATGAGGACATTTAATTAAAAATAAATCCGAAGGCGCAGGGGCCAAGAGCAATTTCCAGCCAGTGAGTGCCGGCGTTGCACCGCTTGTGTCAGGAAAGGGGTCCCTCGCATTCTTCAATCGCTTTCTCTTCCTCCAATCAAACCATTCCGTTATACAAGAACAGAATATTCACGTCCTGCTGTCCATCTCACTGAGGCAAACTCGTTCATCTTTAGCACTACAACTGTCCAATAATATATTGATGTTACATAAAAACAAAACACCCCGTGACAAATGAACAGAACAACGCTGTATAATAGCTGCCGAAACTCCCAGTGGAGAGAAACGGAGACCCCTGACTGAGCTTATCGCTAATTACCAAATGAATACATCCATCCAGGACTACAATTTAGCCGTCTCATTTTGGCTAGCTGTTATTAGGACAGCTTATATGCAGTAATTTGTACATATGCAAATTGCCTGTGTCTAGACGGCTGTGGGTTAAAGGTACGGCCTCTCGCTCACCCATACGGAGCCATGATGGAAAATGAGCCAAGCTTCTGTGAGGAGTATTCAGGTAAGCAGAAGATGAAAAGGAGGTGGTGACTTATGACTTTTATGAAAATATCACAAGACTTCCCAAGATCAACTTTAGACTACAGATTGTAGAGAAGAGGTATATCAAATGATTGTTTTGAAAAGTTTGGACACACTTGAATTAACTTGTATTTTTCATGAATTGATTAATAAAACTAAACGGAATTATAAATGGACAGGTTGACAAGTTTAAAAAAGGTCAAAAAATATGTTTTAAAAAACTGATTTCACAATTTGTCAATACATCGTTTTCATACTACCATTTCATTCATTTCATGGTCTTAATGACCCTTATTCTAATGTGGAATGTGGAAAATAGGACAAAAAAACTATTTACTAAATACTATCAAATTTACTATTCTAAAGTTTTGGGTTGTTAAGATTTGGCTTGTGATTACCAGGGCTGCATTTATTTGATCAAAAATACAGTAAAAATGGTAATAATGTATGGAAGCCCGTTTCCGCCACTAAATACAAAAATATAATTCTGTAAGTCATAATAATGAGAAACTTTCTCAAAATTATGACTTAGTATCTCGTTATAATGAGAAACTTTCTCGTAATAATGACTTAGTTTATCGAAATAATGACTTATTTTCTCATAATAATGACTTAGTATCTCGTAATAATGAGAAACTTTCTCGAAATAATGACTTAGTATCTCGTAATAATGAGAAACTTTCTCATAATAATGATTTAACCTCTCGTAATAATGAGAAACTTTCTCGAAATAATGACTTAGTATCTCTAATAATGTGAAATATTATCACAATTTAAAATGACTGTTTTCTATTTTAATATGTGATGGCAATGCTACTACTACAATCTTCAGTGTTACATGATCCTTCAGAAATCATTATAATATGCTGATATTATTATTAGTGTTGAAAACAGTTGTGCTGCTTAATACTTTTGTGAGAACCGTGATGTTTCTTTTCAGGATTCATTGATAATAATTTATATAAAATAACTTTTGTTTTGTAACATTATAAATGTCTTTCCTGTCACTTTTGATGAACTGAATGTGTCTTTGCTGAATAAAATCAATTTCTTAAAATAAAAAAAAAATAAAAAAAACACCGTTCCCAAACTTTTAAATGGTAGTCTACATTAATTACTTGCAAAGCATTATATAAATGTAACAATGTTTGTTTCTGGTATTAATGAAAGTTGTTATTAAAGGGTTACTCCACCCCAAAATTAAAATGTTATCATTAATCACTTACCCCCATGTCGTTCCAAACCCGTAAAAGCTTCGTTCATCTTCGGAACACAATTTAAAATATTTTGGATGAAAACCGAGAGGCTTGTGACTGTCCCATTGACTGCCAAGTAAATAACATTGTCAAGGCCCAGAAAAGTATTTTGACGATGTCTTTCATACTTTTCTGGGCCTTGACAGTGTTATTTACTTGGCAGTCAATGGGACAGTCACAAGCCTCCCGGTTTTCATCCAACATATCTTAAATTGTGTTCCGAAGACGAATTAAGCTTTTATGGGTTTGGAACGACATGGGGGTAAGTGAATAATGACAAAATTGTCATTTTGGGGTGGAGTAACCCTTTAAGTGTTTGTCTTTTTAGTACATAAAGTCTCAGATGACAGTGCACTGGGAAAAACTCACTCTGTAGGATGCCAGGCAAAGTAAAAACAAACCTGGTAAACACCTGGTTTGTTTGTGTGTACACAATTCGACTTGACCCACCCTGTAGCTCTTTGTCTCCTTTCATCCATCTGATTGTTGCAGCGGGTTTGCTGCCCATGGAGGTGCAGGTTATCTCTGTCTCGTTACCCTCTCTGACGATGTCCTCGCGGGACTCTATGATTGGGTTTCCTGGTGGAACTGAGAGAGGATAGACAGAATTTTCAAGTCAGTCTGTAAATCAAGCACCACTAGAGTCACATTTAGTCCATAGTAGGGGTTGAACGACTTCTGATTTTTTTTAAGAGTCGAGCGTATTCATTCTCTTTTACAAAAGACATAAAGGAGTGTACCCTGACAAAGTATCTACTCTGATGAGACACGGATAACTACACCGTGAATAGTGGCGAACCATCTTGTGTAACAGAAAGCAACACATCCAGTAGACTGGAATAAATATGCTAGAACATTGTACACTGACCTGAATAATTGGGAATGTTCATAGGCATATTGTAACACATCTCTAAAGGCTTTCCTTTTCATTTTGGTGCTCAGTTGGATATACCGTGATAACAGTGTTTTCAAAAGACATGCTCACTTTCAGTGGTCCTTACTTCCAGGAGGTTCACAATGCCTAAAATGCTTACCTGAAAAGGTCACTGAAATCCTAGGGTTCTAGCAATCTGGCATAAGTGTGTGGCATCTTTTGGACAGGGTATTTCAGGTTTCTTGTTCTCCCCGAGCAGCAGGGTTCCATTCAAGCATTCTGCTTCAACTCGGTCGTCTAAAGCTGTGAAGCCAGCCACTCAAACGCATTCAGCGTGCTCTCTACAATCCCACTCCCTCAATACCCACCCCGCACTAAACTCTGCTCTCAAAACGGAATAATCGCTTTTAAGTGTGGGTGATTTTTCCATGCTGTTATGTCAAGACGCAGAACGCAGCAAAGCGTTCACATGTACACAAAGACACACACACACACACACTAATCATGGTCAGTGAGGCAGAAATATGATTTTAATTAGTGCTGTCAAACGATTAATCACAATTAATTGCATCCAAAATAAAAGTTTTTGTTTACATAATATATGTGTGTACTATTATTATGTATAAATAAATACACACACATGCAAATATATATTTAAGACAAATATGTTATGTTTATATATTAAATATATTTATATATTATATAAATATATGCATGGAAATACATGGAAATATTATTTTCACAATATACTGTGTGTGTGTGTGTGTGCAGTGTTCGAACTATACCGTGGACTTTGGGGAGCCCACTTTTTTTTTTTATATAAGGGGGGGGAGGGGGTTCGTGTGCCCTATAACAACCCAGCAACAACACATAATTGCGTATAACATGCCTTACCTTAACACAGAATCGACCAGTCCAGCGTTTATATTTTTTCTACGAATCTTTGAGTTAACGTACTAAACATGAGTGGAATTTGCACCGCAGCGCCCCTACACCTTGATGCTCATGTCAAGAATAGCATGTATAGTTATCTTAATTTAAGTGAATTAGGTTTAAATCGCCGTCATGCATGAATGAATGATATTTTTGCAATTTTACACATAATAATCCACGATGATCACATTAAACAAAACTGAAATTGCATGTCAAAATAACACATTGTCAATATTTTTTGAGACCCCCCAAAATTTCACAAATCACGTTTTCAGGGGAGCCCATGTCTTATTAAGGGGAGCCGAGCTCCCCCGTAGTTCGCACCCTGTGTGTGTGTGTATCATGAAAAATTTCCTTGCTCTCAATCAAGAACAAACTCCAGCATATTCAGTTGCCAGACACTACTGGAACTTAAAATAGAACTGGGTTCTATGGTCAGACGGAGAAAAAAAAGCTTTTTGGCAGCAAACACACAAGATGGGTTTGGTGCACACTAAGATAAAAAAAAAAGTACCCCATGCCTATGGTTAAAAATACTGCTGGACCTTTAACGTTGTGGGCCTGTTTTTCTGCTGGAGGTCCTGGACAGCTTGTTCAGATACATGGCAGCATGGATTTTATCAAATGCCAACAGATTAAAAAAAAATCAAGCTAGTCCGTAGCGGTTTGGGTTCACAATGCATGTTTTTAGAGAATTTGGTCAATATCTGAGAACGAACTGTACTCAGACCACCTCCCGAGATGGTCTTGGCTCGGTTCGCTTTAAAGGGTCTGAGATCGTTCACATACGGGCCAAAAATTCTGCAAACCGTGCTCAGACCCCTTTAAAAGGACCAAGTTTGAAAACACTTAAAAAAATCAATTGTTTGACTTTGATAAAAGGTTGAACTTTTATGATAAAAAAAAAGAAAGATCAAAGGGATAAACAATGCAGATTTATTTTCACAGCCATATATTAAAGTCATAAGTTAGACCTATATTATGCTTAAAATATGAAATGTAGGCTACAACTTGACCTGGAGGCACAGGTGGAACAAAACACAGGTGTCTTGAGATGAGTTATTTTTAGAGCTGAACTACTTTTAACTTACCATGGTGTCTTAGAGTATATTATAATAATAATTTATACAATTTTATAAAATTTATAAAAATATAAAACAATAATGAAAAAACCCCCAGACTAAATACTAAAAAATATAAACGACTGTGTGTATTGTATATTGTGTACATGCATGCATGAGTGTTCATACTTAGCACAGTGATGTCGGCGTAGGCTTCCTGTGGGGGGTCTGTATAGAGCTGGCACACGTATCTTCCCTCGTCTGAGAGAGACACGTTGGATAACGACACACGCAGCTCGTTGTCTGAGAAATTGACCAGCTGGAATCGAGCATCCTTCAGGGCTGGAGAGTCGATAGAGAAAGAGAGCAGATGATAGAATGAAAAGTCACATTTTCACACTCCGCTTCCATTGCAAGCAACAACAGAAACATGTAGGAGATAATTAGAAGTATTTTTCTCCATCTGAAGGCTAGACTGTTTTTAAGGCAACCATATGCTTCTTTGAGCTATTGCTTATAACTTATAACCACGGGAGCTTAACAAATGTGCAGGCTACAATATATTCTTCATATTAGTTGAAATGTGCTCCATGGGAATAACTGAAGTGACTGAGATTGCTTCACACACAGCACCATGGGTGCATCTATTTCTGGCATCATCTGACCTGAGCATTGTATCACTGGGGTTTGAAACAGGAACAGTAGCCATGGGACATGCCATGTTAGACCACTGTGACAACCTTTTCATTTCGACACCTAAGAGAAAAAGTTCTTGACTTGTGTTGAGCATGTACAGTATGTGGGTGTTTCATGGACACTTTTGTCTCTGCAGACTTTTAGCAAATACACACCATTAAAATACACTCAATTTGACTAACAATGTCCACCAGTGAAAATACATGCAAATGCATAACTGGTATAAATAAAATAATATATATATGGAATAAAATAACTTCTTTGTCTTGCTATATATATATATATCATGGGCGATCAGTCCAGAAGGGGGCACGGGTGGTAATGCAACGCTGTCTTTAACTGAAAAATTTGTGTTTACTATTGTCATTTTGCATTATTGACACACTATTTTCCTAATTAATGCTGTTCAGTTGCTTTGACACAATCTGTATTGTTAAAAGCGCTATATAAATAAAGGTGACTTGACTTGACTTGTGTGTGTGTGTTTTCATAGCTTGATGCATTTTCAAATATTTTTATGAGACACGGGTACAACAATAAAAAATATACACAAAAAGACATTTGAAAAGTGACATTTGAATTCAATGATGAAGGCATGGCGTGATAAAAGTTGTCAATATTAATTTCACAATCAAATAATTAAAAAAATGACAATTGTTGACAATCGGTTATCTTTTAATTTTATGAAAAAAAGAAAGAAAAAGAAACTGGGACACCTGTATGCTTATGTCAAATATGGCAGACTAGCAAATACACACCATTAAAATACACTCAATTTGACTAACAATGTCCACCAGTGAAAATACATGCAAATGCATAACTGGTATAAATAAAATAATATATATATGGAATAAAATAACTTCTTTGTCTTGCTATATATATATATATATCATGGGCGCTCAGTCCAGAAGGGGGCACGGGTGGTAATGCAACGCTGTCTTTAACTGAAAAATTTGTGTTTACTATTGTCATTTTGCATTATTGACACACTATTTTCCTAATTAATGCTGTTCAGTTGCTTTGACACAATCTGTATTGTTAAAAGCGCTATATAAATAAAGGTGACTTGACTTGACTTGTGTGTGTGTGTGTTTTCATAGCTTGATGCATTTTCAAATATTTTTATGAGACACGGGTACAACAATAAAAAATATACACAAAAAGACATTTGAAAAGTGACATTTGAATTCAATGATGAAGGCATGGCATGATAAAAGTTGTCAATATTAATTTCACAATCAAATAATTAAAAAAATGACAATTGTTGACAATCGGTTATCTTTTAATTTTATGAAAAAAAAAAGAAAAAGAAACTGGGACACCTGTATGCTTATGTCAAATATGGCAGACACGACCTCAGTTTCAAGGTGGATCTGAAAGCTCCAATGTGACTGCGAGAATCTCACGGCGATCCTAACTTATGCTTCTCTCTCCTAATTATGTGGAGGAACGGAATCTTTTTGGCCCAGAATAATGAGGAGTCCATTAGGGTTCACTCTGCTGGTGTGGGAGGCTTAGCGTGAAAAGTAAATGGTGCTGAGGGTGAAATAGAGAGTGAGAGATGGGCTAAAGAGAGATGAAAGGCTACCAGCGCCCCCCCCACCCCCATCCGCCCCCCACTCGCGGATAAATTCCAGGCCGATCGACAGACCATTTACGACACAGAGAGCACTCGCGCATGCGTTTGTTCTAGCCCGCAACAGCCGAGTTCAAAGGAGCACAAAAAAGAAGACCATGAATAAATAAATAAATAAATGGGGAAATAAATAAAGAAATAATCGGGCATCATTAGAGATTTTTGAGGTGATGGGATCATGAAAGCAGGCCCTGATGGCACAGGGTGTTGATTGTTCTTGGATCCAGCTGGTTAGCCATGCTCTTTCGCTTTCATTCAAAAGAAAGAGAGAGAGAGAGAGAGAGAGAGAGAGAGAGCATCTGCACGCAAGAGAGAAAAAACACATTGCTCTACAAGGGCTGCCGTCTCTCTATGTGCACCGCAAAAGGAAAAAGATCTTCACCGTTCTATATTACGAAGGGCTTTCTTATACTTGCATTTCCCCACGCGAGCCCCCTCAAGCCCCCTGTCCGAGCGTGCCACTGCCATCCCCAGCGTGGGAGATGCAGAGAGTCTATATCTTTCACAGATCACCATGCACGCACGTGGAGATCGCACTGCAAGACCCTGCTGCCAAGGCAACGCATTTCTCACCTTTGATCATGATGTCAAGGCGGCTTAAGCTCAGAGTGAAAATACAAATAAATAAACATCACGCACATGTAGCTTTACATCTATATTCCACTCAACACAAGTGTGTGCGCAGTATATTCAGGTACATGTCTGAGCTTGGGAGTAATAAAGACACACGCGTCCAAAAAGAAATGCATGGACCAACAGCAGCGCTATGATCTCCAGCAGCCATTGTGGTGGTCTTTTGTTTTGAAACACCAAGCAGCGTGCCTTTCATGTAGCCGTCGCGTAATGTGCGACTAATTAGAACTGCCAGCTTGAAAGCGGGAATGTGGCTGTCAAGGGGAGGGCAGGCAGAAGCTAATAATTTAATTCAATTTATTGATTGGGGAAATGTGAGGATTAAAATAAACTGATAAGGAGCAAGAAGCCAAACCAGTTTATAATCTATTGTGACTGTGCATCAGGTGGAGAGACAGCAACAATTATTATTCATTATCAATCAAACAATTAGCAATCATTATGAGAACATGAATAAGCGCGGTGTCAGCTCTAATGGGGAAAAGAGAGGGCAAGAGGGAGACCATATCAGTGAGGCGAATAAACCTTTTTCAAGGTATTTCTTTCTTTAAATATCATGAATTAAATTTTTGGAGTCACATTATGCATTTTACAATCTGAACTAAACTTGCCTAGTCAAAAAAAAAAAGAATGGTACTGTCATGATATTTTTACTTCATATCTCTCAATATATGTGAGAGTATACACCTTGATTAATCTTTTAAAAGTTTCAAAACATATTTTTCTAAGTATTTAATTTTTCCAAATATTATTAATTCATAAATATCATTACATTTACACATCAAGCAAAATTTTAAAACCTGAACTAAACTTGCTCGGTCATAAAAAGATAAAATGGTGCCAATCCTGATATTTTTGATATTCTTCCAAAAATAACAAATTAATTTAAATTGAAAAATGAAAAACATGCTCATCATATAACAGGTGTATTCAAAGCACAAAATTGTATTTTAAATGAATAAATTAATATATCCAGATAATAAATTGTGTTACATAATTGATCCATGTTTCAAAGTGAAAAAGGATACTCAATGAGTAAAAAATAGTAGAGAAAAATTTGGGGTTGGATGGAAGACGTCATCTGAAATGGAAAGTTGGAGGTGTTTGGATAACGTGCACCAATTATTCATTCCCAATAAGATCAGGAAAAAGGTAAATACAAATAGGGGTCAATTTTGATTTCATATTAAGTTTAAATTAGAAAGTATGTAAAGTGCACAAACAGGCAGTTGTAAAAAAATAATATGCCTTCAGGACATGCAGACATAATTTACATAGTACAAAAACTGTAATTTACATAGTTTCTTTTTTGGAAAAGGAGGCGGATGAAAAAAGTCGAAACCTTGGTGAAAAAAAAGCAGTGCTTTGTGACCCAAATAACAACAGCATATGTGACTGTGTACATGCCCTTTGCTGCTTGCTGTAGCATTTTCGGACACAGCGCCGGACACAGTGATAGTGAGAGCTCGCGGAGCCCCAGGAGGTTGTCTCACCGCCACGAGAGGGAACGTTTCTGTCGGCCAGCTACATCCAGTGCGCTGTGGGAGCGGTTGAGAATGAAGCTCAGCGTGGTTTCCTGTCCCTTCTGAGGGCATGCTGCCCAGTAAACCAGTTTCCCTGCCTGACAAAACCCTTTAAAGCTTATCACCCTGAAAAAAACATGGACAAATGCTTTTGCGCTCTGTGTTCCTTTTTTGTTTTTTGAAACTGTCCTTCATTTGCTTGGGATTTTTACAAGGCTTTAACCTGTATTATGTTCTCAGAGTTTCATTCAGGCAGAAGGCTTTGGGGAACGGCAATGCTGGTTTATGTTCATTGTTTTAATTCTCGTCACAATGAGTGTGTGTCGTGATATATGAGGACAGGCATGCAATGGGCAGCATATGCCATACAGGAGTCGGAAAGGCTTAGGAAGTAAAAAAAGGAAAGATTATGCAGCAAGGACAAGAAGACAATGTGAAATAACACTGTCACAGCTTTGTGTCCTCTCAGCATAGCACATTTCAGAGAAAGAGGAGACTTAAAATATCATGCACTGCTACGAATAAAATCTACCTTGTCTCCAAAGATGACATAAAAGACAATCAATGTTAGAGAGCATTTAAGGTCCTTTCACATGACATGTGGCAACATTCCCCAATGCATCAAACTCAATGGAGTGAAGTTATAGTAAGCTAGTTGTAATGCCAGAGTTCAAACTATTGGACCTATTTGCCAGTGACATTTTGAAGAGCAGGCAATGATCGCTGGACAATGTGTATGACGCATAGAACCTCTTTTCTTGCAAAAACAGTTCCAACTTTGCATTTAAGTTTGATTTCACCTCACTAATGATGTTTTAAGACAGTGACACACCAAACCGATAAAGAACTAGCAGCAACGATAGCCAACTGTGTTGTTGCTTGAAGCCAAAATGTTGAGCTTGAACATGCCGCGAAGACTACAGCCATACATCCACACTACAGCTTGCGTGATAAGCTTGAGTTGGACTTCACTTTCTTCATTCCAGACTGCCATGTTATGAAAATATCTGCATATTAGAATCCTCAGGTAAGATGAAGATGTAAAATTAAAACAGCCTCTGTGTTCACTTTTGACTTAATACTTATTTGCTCATCACTATTCCTCTCATGCACTGGTCACTTAAGTTGAACAGCCAATCAGAGTGGTCTTTCTCACCGACTGGCTGACTCTGATTCAGCTGAGCTGACTGTCCATTGGCTTGGTGTGTCGGGGCCTATAGAGTACAAAGCAAC